AACTTTTTATTTTTGGTCGAAAATTTTTTGGTATGGCTCCGGTATTACTACTAACATTAGAAGGAGGGTGCAAATCGGTACCAGTCCCAAAATCTAGGGTTCTAACTCGTGTTCCTGGTGGCATTTCCATCCTTTTAATGGTAATCTTAGTGAGGTGCTTGGATTCTACCACGTAATTTTATTGGAATCTTTGCTTTCTCTCCTTAAGCCCTGTTGAGGTGCTAGTGTCCATCGTGGATTCATAGTTGCCACTTGTCTTGGGGTTTCCCAGGGGAAAGGGGTTGTTAACCCCTTTAGTGGATTGGACCTCACTGTCGATCAAGTGAGTGATTATGCTATCGTTGGCATTCATGGAATCCTCAGATTTATAACACTTGCGCTGCAACTTATGCATGGAATCGAATTAGAGGAGTTATCGTGGTTTTTGTGCGAATTCTACAAGCTTTTTTGAATATTCTCCTTTCTTTTTTCAAGGTTCGGACTGTTTATTATGATCCTGCTTAGGGTTGTTGGTGTTGTGTTGTCCCAGTGTTGCATCATCCTTAAGTGGGATATTTTCCTCATGGATTACGGTGGTGTCCATGCTGTCCTCAGAGCTAGATGAGTCGTTTAAGTCCCCATAAACTTCCCCTAGAAGTATTTAGGGGTCATTTTGATGTCGTTTCGGGGAATTTTTAAACAGGGGTTCCCCTGTATTGGGATGCTGATCCATCTGTTAGTATTTTTAGTTGTTGATCTCAAAATAGTGGCTTTACTTACGTTTATTGTTTTCTGTCTTTTGTTTTTGGCATTTAGTCTCTCTGGAGTTTGAACTATTAATGTTTCTTAGCTCTTCAGTATGCCTTTATCTATTTTGTTGTCGTTTAGAATATATCGTGGGGTATTCGGAGAGATTAGGGTCGCTTGCCCTTGAGGGCTTTAATATGGAGCGTAGACTCTGTTACGAGCGTTTTTGGTTTAAAAGAATTTACTAATTTTACAAATTGTCTACCACCCTTGATACGCTTGTGAACACACCGACTAGCTCAGGAGCTGGGGTTCTTGAATTTATAACGCGCCAGAGGTTTGATGGGCTAACTCAAAACACAAAGTTCCTCGTTGTTTAGAGGATAGACAACCACTTACCCAAGATATGTTAGAAAATTATTACAATTTATCAATGTTACAATTTTTGACTATAAATTTAGGCTCAAATAAAACTTATTACTATTATTAACCATTAATGTTGACCCAAATAATAATAATCCTGGACTATAATAAATGAGTACCCACAAAATAGAAAGATAACTCACCTTATAAAGTCCAGTCGTTCACTGGACTATACTGCCAGCTATTCTTTTAAATTTTAGAAATAAAGTACGCTTGTTATTGTTAATGGGGAATTTGTTTTCAGAACTGCCTACAAGTATCTTAACATCAAGGCTCCATTTGTTCGAACAAAGGGGCGTACAAGGTTTGCTATCTACAAAAATAGAAAATTAGAACATTGTACTGACAAATGAAACAAAATGTTTACTGGGCATTTAGTAGCCACAATATCTTATACCTAAAAATAAACCAACCACATAAGGCGTTGAAGTGGAAATAAAATAAAACCAAACTAAATGGCAAGCAAATTACTAGCCCTCATTACAGAGTTACCAGATCAGCGCCTTGGTGGCTATAATAAAACAGAAAAATGGTACCCCCCCACACATGAAAAGTTTTAAACATATATATTATATAAAATATGATCCCCACTAACAATAAAATTTACTATCATAACCCAATTAAATAAATTTACATAGGAAGATTGGTTCCACCAATCCCACAGATAAAGGTGCCATTTTTTATATCACCAAAGGGCGAAGCACTTGATAATAACAACAAGGTAACACTGAACTTGAACGGAACAAAAAATACTTAGCTTAGGCACTGGCTCATAGGCGGTTGCCCGAATCTTCTTATTGATTAGAATACCTGAGTACCTTACCCAGGTTGTCTTTCCAGATTCCAACCAAAGGAACAGAAGAACTGTCAGGTTCCCAAGTAACTGCCAGGACCAAGGGATAACTGACCGCAAAGCTGACCGGTCTTCAGGTAGCGACCAAGATTTCACTAAGGAGACTTCGGGTTTCCCTAGTTCAGAATGATTTGTCCACGGTGTTCTCTCCTCGCAGAGAGTCAAAGTGAAGTTTTCAAGCTTTCCGCCGGTCAGAAATATTAGGATTATCCAGAAAAGACAAATCCACCGGCCTGGAACTCGAACATGACAAAATGGTGGGTAGGTCCCCGCGTCAGCACTCTTCGTCATACAACGCCGGTTTAAATCCTTCTTTAAAAGAATATTTCGTACCCTATCCAAACTATATACCACAACCACGATAAAGGGTACAAAAAGGGTATTGGTAAATCGAATCAAAACCCAACTCACAGTTGCTTAACCAAAAATATATGACTCGACCACCTCACAGCGTCCAAACACGAGTACCCAGGTCTGTCACCAGTACCAAGAGGGAGGAAACAGGAAGCAAAAAAAAACAACTTCTAGTTGGACATTTTTTTTGGTGAAAATGGCCTGAACCATTGACCTATTCAGTATAACGGCACACAGAAATTATACACAACTTAAAACCTAGAAAACTAATTACCTAACTAGCTTAATTTATTAAAAACCCTGAATATACCAAAGTTACTTTTCCCCAAGAGTAAACCCTTAATCAAAAGAATATCATAATTAAAATTATCTAAGTGGCTGTATGTGCTACACAGTTCAGTGCGGCTCAGACAAAGAAAAGGTGTATAGCGACTAGCTAAGTGAATGCTCGAGATTGAGCGACACAGAAACGATTCATTGACCTACTGACATATATTCTAACCATAAATAAAAATAAACAGAACCGCACTTAGCTCTGAATTTGGGATTTCTATTATACATATTAAATCAATGTGATACGGAAATGAAATACATAAAGTGCACGTCTGGCAATAAGGATATTTCCCTATTAAAAACAAAATAACCAATACTAAAAGGTTTATATTGTACCAAAGGTATGTTTTAACTACTGACAATTAACTTTAAATAAAAATATAGTAATATTTATCACCCAAAGACTATTAAATAAAAATACTCTTGTAATTAAAAAAAAAGTGTAACAACTTCCATTCCATGATTTTTAGTTATACTTCCTGGCTACTTGAACGTAAAACGAATTTTATTATTATTTTAATAAAATAAAGTGAAATACATAAAAACCTGTTTGGAACTTATATATACATCACACACTGTTTAAAACATCCGATTCTATCGAAGTCGAATCCGTGGAAAAACAATACTCTTATCATACCCGAAAAACCTTATTTGGCTTTGACTGACGAAACACACCAATATATGGAAGATATCTACACCCCTCTCGAGGAAAACTACATTAGTCAACAAAAGTTAGAAACTAAAACCAACGTTTGCATTGCCACCCTCATCAAAGATGGAAAAGCCACTTGTATTCATACGCCTATTTAACATCCGTTCCAAATATTCAATAAAGTCAATAATGAATATTTGATAATCATTACGACAGAAGAAATGAAAAATCAAATTAAGATATCCCAATGACCAATACTTCACAATTTGAACAACGCATAGACCAAACCATGTTTCCAAATATTGCAGCATTCAAATTTCAAATTATAAATTTGTTTTCAGCACGACCAGAACTTCTGGAAAACCACTAATTTTACATACAATCCATTAGTGACAGTGCACATCTTCATACTTTGAGTCAGAAACCATTACAGAATTTCATTAGAAGATATACATATAATTCAGAACCAAATATCAGCTATCAATCAATTTTCCATAGATGACATCGGTGAACCAAAATTAAAAACTTGGCTCCAATGGTCTTTTATCAGCACCCTGGCGATCCTAACCATTGTATTTTTTTATGGAAAAACAAACATATCAAGAAATTATTCAAAAAAGAAACGGAACCCAAAATTATTTAGCCTTCGCCTTCTGAAGAACCCGAAGCCTTCATCTAACAGAAGAGGAGTTATGTGAACTCTAATTGCAAGCTTGCAAGCCGGTCTTCGACCTGCTGCGTCAGCACCGGCAAACTTATAAATATATGTAGAATTGTAAAAATTGTCATTCCTTATTTTCTGTCATTCTTTAAACTTATCTCTTCGAGTGACTACCGTTTTTACTGAATTTTAGTTGTGAAAAATTATTATTTGAGCCATTGTATTCAGTTTGTGACTCAACAAAGTTTAAGTTATTACGGTATTTTTAGGATTTTTAAGAATTTGGACATGATTTGGACCTTCTAATAATTGGTAATTCCAATAAGCCGGCCTTTTATGAGATTTAATATACAAATTAAATGGTAAAAATAATGCAAATTCAGGTTTAAATTGTAGGTTTAAAATTAGGATTGTAATTTTCGGAGTAAGCAAACTTATCGCCGTCATGTTTTATGTGATTCTTTGAAAATAAAAAAAATAACCATTTTGCTTAGGATAGTGATTGGCAAAGGTACTGTTTGGTAAAGTACAATGTTACATGCCTCTGGAGCATAATTCATTTCGTTATGAGATGGAAGCCGAAATTTGCAATGGGCTCTAATATAACAGAAACATACCAAAATCATTTGACTTAAAAACCTTGAAAAATATTTAATAATTGCTTTGTATTATTCTATGTTATTTTTTTTTTTTTAATTTTTGGTGATTCTCCTGCCTCGTCGCTTTATTAGGATTTAACAGTTGTACATGAAATTAATTTAAATAATTCAAAAATAAAATTAAAATAAAAACACTTATTGACATGACGCACATAAGAATTTTTACTAAGTATGTCCTTTTTAAACTTCGAAAATAATGTATAGTGTGATCAGAAAAAAGAATTCTGCAATTTGTTGAAAAAAATTACACGTATTATACAACTCTTTTTTAAAATGACAGGTTAAATGTTATTCAGGAAGCTTGCTAGTAAAATAATAGAAAAATTAAAACAAAACAACATTTGTTAAATATATTTATTAATTAATTTTCTTTAACCTTAATAAGATTGGATCCTCCATCTTTAAAACAAAAGTGAGTGGATCAAGCTTTAATGGTTCTTTACATTTTGGACTCACAGAGATTTCAAAATTCTTAACTATTTCCGCCACACCCAACTTCGTCTGCAGAATTCCCAGCTTTAATCCTAAAATACAAAACAATTTTCAATTAAGTACTTACAAGACATAGTACTCGTATTTATTGAAATAATGTGGTACTCTGCGTATATACGAAGTGATTATTTAAAAATTTACAATGAGTGTATTTCATTTAATAAGGATGATTTTAAAAAACGCATAAAATAGTTTATAGGACACAATTAAGGAATTTAAATGACAAAATAACCGACTATACGCCAACCAGAAATAAGAGCAGCTCCCTATTTGTCATATATCATTGTAGAGCTAGTAAAAATGCTTTTCAATAATAAAAGTTATACCCTACACAGGGTGGTTCAATAAAATATAATATTTGCAAATATACTTGCACTTAAAGATAATTGCATGTATATCTGAAAGACATATATTTAAATATTTCCAGTCTAGGAGTACAATAGTAGTTTGTGCAACAAGAGTGGATATGATGGCCATATCGCACGAAGACGAAATTTGAGCACGACGCCGTAGACGGAATGCTCAATCGTCTGAGTGCGATGTGGACAATCCACTCGAGTTATACAAAATATTTTTCTACGACTCACTAACGAAAATTTACAAATAAAAAAATATTTTAGGTTATTAAGTATTAGTAATTTTAAAATAATTTATGACTTTCAATAATTTTTAAAATAAAATAAAGAAAAAAAGAAGAAATTTCATTTAATTTTTCCCCATCCGAGAATCGAACTCCAGTCGTCCGTGTGAAAGGCAAGAACGCTAACCCCAGGACCACATACTGGTAATAAAATTGACTTCATATAGTTTTATTTAAATTACCAAATTATTTATAATTATAGACGAAATTAAAACAGAAATTATATTATTTATCGATTCTACACAAAAATAACTCATTTTAATGTATGTTTATCTCAATAACTAAAAAATATACTGACAATTAGTTTGACAGAATTGTCACTTGTTTAAAAATTTAAAAATAATAGCAGTCGATTGTTCAAAATATGAACAGTGATTGGTAGATTTCATTTTTTTGCAGTTTTCTGACTACCTAGAATGGATATGAAATATATTCGTTCAGTTAAAGACAATAGCATACTTTTTCGTTTTCTAATTTGTGGGTGTAGAAAATAGTATATTGTTTACCTAGGCAGTGAAGTGACAGTTTTCCAGGTCGAGTAAAGATATGGACAGGCGAGGCGAAGCCGAGTTTGGACACTTTGTGAGGCCTGGAAAACCACTTTACTGTCGTGATTTACATACTATTTTTTATCATGAACCAATAGAAAATTTTACACTATAATAAAATGATAATTATTGCTTCCTCAAAATAAATTTGTATTTAAATAAACAAGTCCGCATTGGTACCAACCACAAAAATGACAAATGTTTTAAAAAATGACACCAGATTGCCAAAAATTATTTATATATTAACTGCTTGACGGCAACACATACAACACGTATGTGTAATGTGTATTGCGGCATACGACCTATCTTTATAATTTATTTTGAAAAAATTACTACAACTTGTCTACACTACATCAATTATAGATAAATATAAATAAACACATAACCTGTAGCAGAATAAACAATAAACTCAGATTCAGTTCGTGATATCGTAGTTTTGGGAGTTGAAAGACTATCCATTTTTGATTTGCAAGCAACTGCCGTAGAGTTGACAGCACTTGATCCTGAAATTTCACAGTCTTAAATTTTATTTGATATTCGAATTTTATTGTTGATAGAATTTTCCACGTATCCTTCGGCCACAGTCGAAGATTTCCATCCTCCATGTCGCTTCAAAACAAATATATCGGCCCCCGTATTAGCAAGGAGTGTGGCTGATGTTCTCCGAAAACAATGGCCCGTGTAGGCATCAGGATTTGGTAATTTTAGGTGTTTTGCTATTAAGCTAGGCATCTTTCCAATACTATTTATTCCAACAACTTGGTTAAAACATCTTTTATTTTGATACAATAGGCGACTGGTAGCCTAACTTGGACGAAGAGCCGCATATTTTGGACAAATGTCAATATAATCTAAATTTGAAACTGTAAAAATTCGTTGTATATTCGTTTTTGTATCGGGTACTTTAACAATCAAAATGGAATTTTTATCTTCTATGTCATCGACCGTCATTTTAGTGAGTTCCTCACGGCGGCAAGCACCCGAAATACCTAGTATTAATACAACCTAAAAGGAAATCAGTAATTTAAGGAGGTTCTTTCGCCACCAATGTTAAATAAAAAAATATTAGATTATAACTAAAATTAATTTTTTTCTAATAGTAGAAGTCCTTATTTATCTAATAGTGAACTTTCAACTATACCTTACCGTGCACATTTTTGAGAATTTTTTTTTTAAATGTGTGTTTGTACAGTGTCTTACGAGAAAATAAGACATCAACAACAATTTTCGAATTATAATTAATTTTACTATTATTTATTGATTAGATGGAGTAGAAAAAAACTAAAAATTAGGTTTTTTAAATATTTAGGTTATGTTTTTTACAATTAAATATATAGGTTACCGTGGAATTTATTGAGAAATTATTATTAAAAAATTTTCAACCAGGTTACTTCAATTTTTTTTTTTTTATTAATTTCTCAATAAATTCCAAGGTAACCTATATATTTTATTGTAAAAAAACAAAACCTAAATATTTCAAAAACCCTATTTTTAGTTTTTTTCTACTCCATATAATCAATAAATAATAATATAATTCGAGAATTGTTATTGAGGTCTTATTTTCTCATAAGACACTGAAGTTCAACATTAGATAAATAAGGACTTCAACTATTAGAAAAAAAATAAATTTTGGTCATCTAATATTTTTTATTTAACATTGGTGGCGAAAGTGGTGGCGAAAGGACCTCCTTAAAAAACACATGAAACAATCATCAAAGATCTACCTTAACCAACAAATAGGTTTCATCATCTGCCTCTCTTATGAATTGCTCAACTTCCTCTCTAGTCAATAACTTAGATTTCTTAGGATGGTTCCCAACTGACAATTTTTTCAAATATGGAACCAACTTGGTAAATTTCTTAAAATCCACGTTTTCTTTAACATTGAGTGTTGCTTTCAACATAGAATATATTGCCCATAACGTGGAAGACTTCAGCTTCTTAGACTTCTCTGCAAAATATGCCAACAGCACATTTTCCATTATTTTACAGTTACAAATATCACGCACGAAATTGACGCAAATAAAAAGTCACTCCAAAATAATTATCAAGAACTGTCACTTTGAAATAATTGTCAACAAATGCCATTTTATTTCCATAGTTACAGTAATTACTTGATTTGGAAAAACAGTTTAAGTCAGTTCAATACTATTTTTCATATTAAGCTAAGCATGTTACTTATTTTAGAATAATATTTTTGACGTTTGTAGAAAAAATTTTGTTTGCATCTCATGCGCGAAATACTTTGGTGATCTCGACTATTTTTTTTAACTCGGCTGCGGCTCGTTAAAAAAAATCAGTTCTCGATCACCAAAGTAGCATTTCGCGCACTAGATACAAAAATAACTATTGTCGTAGAAAAAGACATTCGTTATAAAAGGGGAGATTTGCCGTAAAAGGACATTTTGCCTCAAAAGAGGACTGTCCTTTTTAGAAAAGAACAGGTGCCAGATATAATCGACACTCGTTTATAAGGGGGTTAGAAATACGAAACCATCTTTGAAATGATGCTTAATAATGAGTAATATGGATTGTAATATGGATTGTAATAAATGTTATACATACAAATTGATTTTATTTTTGTATAGCAATACATTGTGAGCAAGTAAAGTCCTGTTAAAAAAATATGTTCACAAAATATTCTTTATCTGTCTACAATCTTGTACATATGTACCTGCGATTGTCTACATATAAGTAATTTACAATTATTGATTTTGTTTCCAATTAAATCATAATATTTTAATATTATTTTTGAAATAAATCTATTTTATTTTATGTTTTTGGTGCATGCTATTATTTTATAATATTTTCTAAAACTTGTTTCTACTTTATCATAAAAAAAATCAAGTCGATAGCTCAATTAGTTTTCAATCTACGATAATAGTAATATTTAATAATTGCCGATTTTGGTTTTTTTTTTGTCATACAAAATGACTGACGTACATAGGTACTGAAAAATGTCCTGAGTGTCCGTTTCATATACTACTTATTTACATAACACCTATAGGGTCTGCTTTGGTTCTGCGCCAATTTTTATCACCTTGAGTAATAAGCGACTTTTGTAGTACATTTTGCTCTACTAAAAACTAAAACGCACACCCGAATCCGACTTGAATCTTGAATATCTCTCAGAGAAACATCCTACAGAAATAGAAACCGCAACGTTGCCAAATTGGACTGATTGGTATTGCGTCGCGTATTATTTAGCAGATTTGAAATCTGAGTTAGGAGCGTACTGGATAAAGCTCTTAAAGTAGTTTTTTAAAATTACTTTTATAACTTGTTATTGTAAGGAAAGGCCAAGGGAGCAGCTGGTAGTGGAATACAAAATATTTGCAGTTTAAATAGTTAAAGCTAAAATATTTTCATGTTGTAGACACAAGCTTCAAAAATTACACGAAAATTTTAAATTTAGGAAAATATAACGAATCGTTATTAGGAAGATGGTAGGGAGAAGGGGAAGGAGTAAGGTATCGAAATATTAAAAAATATTGTTTTTGTTTTGTTTCCAGTAAACAAGTAAACTGCGGCCACTATTTTTACTTTTTCTGTTTTGAAATCCGTGATGAATATAAAATATGAATGGGGTAGAAATATAGAAAAAAAAATGCTATCAAGGGCAATACTCTTGGATGGAAATCTTTCGATTGTTGGATTCGATTTTACACCTAATTCCAAAAATAGTTTACTTTTCGCCAGGCTACAATTTTTTTTTCTGACTATCAACACTTTCGCTGACACAAAAAAAATACTTTAAATATCATATTGTATTTATAAAAATTAATCCAGAAAGCCTTCCGTGAAAATTTGAATTTTATGTACCTGTGTTCTTATTAATATATTT